GGCTACCTACAAAGGCAGCGTCCTGCTGAGCACGGACTCAGCTGCAGATCCCAGCTTTCCAAAGCTAGACTCTGCTGGGTGGGTTCTCAACCCTTGGCAGCCAGTGTCCTATTACCCAAAGGAAGGTCTGCCTCCTAGAAATAAGTATCTGATCCATCAGGGCAAACCTGCCCCCTTTCCAAGGACTCAGCAGCCCGTAGGCAGGCTTCCAGGAACCTCCCGCTGCCATGTACTTGCTCCCTACAAGTGTTCTCGGCTTTATAAGGAAGTCGCCACCTTCTTTCTTTTTCAATCTGTGTCCATGACTATCTATGAAAACAAACCTCCGGGACAGCTAGGGGAGACAGGCCCTTTCATTATGGTATGTCACAGGCAAAATACTACAGGGAGGGGGAACAGGCTCAAAGTGCTCTTTCCTGTGCTCCGTTCTTGTTAGATCCATATCCACCGAGTTTATATAAGTGGCCTTTTTCAAACTGGTGACCCCAAATTACATCTTCAGTCTTAAGTGTCAGTCTTCATGGGCATGGGGAAGGTACTAGAAATAAGGCAGGTAAGAAGGCACCAGGTATACTGACAATTAATGAAGCAGACTTCTTCCTTAGAAGTGTTAACTAACAAGAACTCCAGCAAGCATTGGAAAATGAGAAATAATGGGAAGGAAACAGTTGGACGAGTTGCACACCAAGTATACTGCTGCCCACATCAGCCTCTGCACCCTTTCTCACTTCCCAAAAGGTCTCCTCTCATAGACTCATGCCTCAGAAGCAGTTCAGAGCACAAACAGGGAACTTTCTTCATCTCATCCTTTAAACTCTGAGGGTTCCCCTTACCCATCTGGAGAATCAGCAAGGCCTCCTCTGGCTCAGTGCTCCCCAGCCAAGTAGTCATCTCGTCTCCTTGTGAGTTGAAAGTGGTTGCATTCAAAGAAGAAAGTACTACAGGTGTTGATGGGGTTAAAGACATGCCTGTCACACGTTGCCAAGTAGAGGACTGGAACACCTCTGAACCTTTTAACACCACTTTCTTTCTAACACAGCCTCTTCCTGTCATACCTTTTCTCCCCACCCACCCCCACAAAAATTATTTTAGGGAACAAGTTAAAATAAGAGGTGTGGTTATTGTAGAATGATTAGACCCCCATGGGAGAAGAGACACTCTTGTCTTCTGTTGATGCCCTAGGGGTGTGATGGGTGTGATTAGCTAATCATGATGGTGCTGGGTGTCACTGCTTAATTATTCTAGCCCCTTGCAGTCTTCCAGACTGTCTGGATACCACTTATGAGCTGGTTTGAGGCAGAACAGCAACCACAGGTTCCAGTGTTCTGAATATGTTTGGTCAATTCTGGCAATTTTCTTTGTGTCTGCAATTGTTTTATTTCCTAAACCACAAAGTTAGATGCTTTTGTGATCTAATTGTTCTATGCAAAGTGTTTAATGAATGCAGTGAAGGCAGATTCTTGTTTTGTTTCATTGTAACTTAAACAAAAAACTCTTGATATCCAGGAAAAGAGGCGAGGAGGGTTAAAATGAGGAAACGGATGCATGCAGTTCCTAGAAGGCACTCTTATATTGGATAAACTTAGACTAGACATGACCTGCCAATACACCAAAGACAAGGAGGGGGCAACATGGCAGTGTCCATGTAGGAAGAATGTTTTAGGTGGAGAAGTGGTAAATGGAGTTGAAAAAGTAGTAACTACCAAACCCTCATTGGCAGTCTTTCTCCTTTTTTTGGTGTATGTGGAATCTGTGAGAAGATGGGGAATGGCCAAGTTCCCTTCATTCAGCCAACTGCCCCCTAGCAGGGACTCTGGTTCATCATCCTGCCCTCTACAAGGACTGAGAAAGTACCTGCATGAGCTTGTGTGACCTTGATTCCACGTGAAGGGAAAGGCGGGTGTGAGGTTATCAAGGCCAGCCCTTGAACTTGGCCAAGTATGTGCTCCCGCCTCCGCAGAGGAAGTCTACAGAAATCACAGCTTGGAAAACCGAGAGTTGGCGTCTGTTCCCCAGAGGAATTAAGGCATCTCTGCTCCTGTCCTGATGTCCAAGGCAGCAGCCAGCTTTGAAGAAGCTCTTTTTTTAAAACCCCACTCTCCTCTGGCTTATGAGCACGAAGTCCCATCACATCATAGGTTCCAGTGCATGATGAGAGACCTCTGAGGTGGCAGCGTAGGTGGAACGGAATGCTTTCACCCAGTCCTTCAGCCCTGAGGTGGGCCTCGTCCTGACAGCATGGGATCTGAAGCCCAGTATGCATGGCTCCACCTTCAGTGGGGCTGTCATCTGTTCATTCACTCAGCACATACTTCTTGGATGCCTACTGCATATCAGCTTCTCTCGACAGTTCTAGGAAATAGGACATGCAGAACTCCTGTTCTTCAGTAATCCTGTCTCCTGGGGGGCATTTTTCTATGGAAGACAGAACCTGACTCAGGACTCTTAAACTTTTTATTCCTGGGTTCCTGCCTCCCAGCATCTGTCCCCGTTTCCTATCCCAAACCAAGCCTTACCCCCCCACCCAACTCCCGCCCATAACCTTTTATCTTCTCATGCCCCAAACTAAATTGTATACCCAGCCTGGAGTGAATTTGGGGCTGCTACACTCAGGTGCCAACAACCAGTGGTTCTCAGACTTGAGTGAGCAGCACACACACCTAGAGGGCGTGTTAAAGCAGAGTCCTGAGCCCCACGGCAGAGATTTCAGTTCAGCGTGTCTAAGGTAACTTCCAGGTGATTCTGATGCAGGACATCCTAGACACAAACTTTAAATGACTTCTCTGTTAAGCGTGTGTATGGTTACTGTGCCCTCCAAGGGCAGTGCGGACTAACAGAACTGACCGAACGGCCAACAGCATCTCAGCAGCCCTGGGCCAAGAGCTAGAGGGAGTTCATGCCACAAATACCAGGCCTTTCTCTTAGTGGTCACTTTCTCATGATTTGGCCACCTAAGATGTGGGCCGGGAGTGCTCCGTGGGGCAGCTGCTGCTCCTGGCAGAGGAGGCCATAAGCCTGATGAGCTGGCATTCGCGCACGTCCCTTTGGCTGCAGGCTGCCGTAGGCTGGGCATTGTCAGTCACAGTCATGCTGTGGCAGTGACAGGGGAACCCTCCCCAGAGTTCTGCCTGAAACCAGTAGGATTCTGTCTTCTTGGGGTCCTCATTCTCCCTGGCAGAGGTGCAGCCAGCATGTGCTTGGCACTAGTAGAAATAATAAAGAGCTTTTCAAAACTTCGTTCCTTGGGCCTCCGAGGCCGTCAGGCCTAGCCTTGGGGTCTAGAGTCCCCCTTAGCCTTGGGGTCTAGAGCCCCCCTGCAGAGCCAACCAACACCTGACTCTCTGGCGACCTGCTTGCATTTTGGCACACACAGCTCAGCTTCCTCTGGGAGACTCCTAACTGTAGACCATCCTCTTGATGTCTAAGCTGCCTCCTTATACCTCTCACCCACAACCCTCATTCTGGTCTCCTAAGCTACAAAATACATCTTCCACATGTCCAGACCACAGACTGTTTCTTCCTTTAGTCTGCTCCTCTGTAGGCTGAATTACACCTTTTCATCAACTGTTTCTGACTCAACTCAGCATTCTGGCCTGATCCCTCTCTTTCCCGTACTCTCAGAGGTATGCACACAGACTGAGTGTCCCTATCACCAGGCTGATGCCAAAGGCTGCAGAATTAGTCATCACCTATGCAGAGGCCTCGCTGGTGGGGAAAAGCTCAATCTTCATGTCAAGTGTTAGAAAAATGATGTGAAAAGAATGTAATTCCTCTTTTGGAAGACTGAATAACCAGATTCTCATCCTTTGGATTGACACTGTCAACAGCTTTTGCCAATCAACTGCTATGTAGCAGACGTCAGTGTCACCTCACTTGACCATTTTGATTATCATGTCACTCTCAAAGGAGAGTCACATTATTCCCATTTTGCAGATCAATACTAAGCCTCAGCTAAGGTGGGTAAATTGCCTGATGTCTTACAGCTGGAAGGGATAGAGCTAGAAATCTATGCAATCTACAAGTGAGAGCTGTGTGACCTACTGCCTGTTAAGTTTACTTCACAGGATGATTATCAGTGATTAAGTGTGCTACTGCATGTGAGGGGCACATGGTAAGCCCTCCAGGAATATCAGGTATCATGACCAGCAGGTAAAATGGAATTGGACTATGTATTAGATGCCTGTCACAGCTATCAGCTCCTTCCTTCCCTCCTCTCCCTGCTACACACACACACACACACACACACACACACACACACACATGTTCAGTGGTTGCCAGATTGAAAGAGGGAGGAGTGAGTGCTAATGGGCATAGGTTTATTTCAGAGGTAATAAAAATGTCCTGCTGCTTATACAACTCTCTCAATTACTAAAAACCACCAAACTGTATACTTTAGAAGGATAAATCTTACAGTACATGAATTATATCCCAATAAAGCTTTGATTTTAAATGGGTAGAGGGTTTTCTCTCCCCTCTATCCCCACCACCACTAGGAGCCTGAGTCATCCTGTCACACTCAGGGAGATGGATGACTATTTTTCAAAACTTCATTGAGAAAATGCTAAGCCTGAAGCTGAAATGATAAATCCTTGCCATGTTACTCCCCGACGCTTCCCCTTTCTGTGCCATGAATTCCTTCACCTGGATGAGAAGGCAGGTGGAGGACTGAGGCCCTGGTCCTTAGAATGGGGCTCACGAAGGAGCGGTCTGCCCAGGACACTGGCCTCCGATTTACAGCAAACCAGCAATTAGTAGTATTTTCTGGCTGGCAAAAAAAGCTGTGATGATTTTTTTTTTAATCGCCAAACTACTTGTCAAAACTGACACAAATACAATCCCATATGTTTTTCACACCTAAATACACAGGGCTCCCAGATTTCAGATGACAGGAACGACTTCTGGCTCTACCTGCTATGTTGAGGACAATTACTTTCCAGGCCAGTTGGTTTTACTCATGTTGTGCTTTCTCTCCCCTCTTCCTCTGTCTTCCTTGTTTTTAGTGGCTGCTTCAACCCCCAACTCCACTGCTGGTGCAGCCATGAATTCTTTGACCTCTCTTGGGACTCTGCAAGGATTGGCAGGAGCCACTGTTGGATTGAATAATATTAATGCACTAGCAGGTACTATAAACAGTGAGTATTTGCTGCTCTGGCGGACAGCCTTCCCCCAAATTCTGCACAGAAAATGGTCAGCCAGGGATGATCTGAAAAGGCTATATAACTGGGAAAATTAAAATATGGGATGGAGGAGCATGTGCTAGAACAGGCAAATGCTACCTACGTTCATTTTCTCTTAAAAAATAGCCAATTCTCACAACCCCCAGAGTCTTTTCTAATCTGTGGGGTGCGTATTCATCCATACATTTCTGTGGTTCACAGATATTTACAGGTTTCGAGGGGTTTGATTTTGGTCTGGTTTGTTTCTGGTTTTGTTCCATTCTTCTGAGAGATAGTGTGTTATAACAGAAAAAGTAATGGACTAGAAATCAAGATGCCTGGGACCTGTTCCAAATCTGCTGCCAATCTGCAAAAATCTTAGGCAAGTCACTGTCCCCACCCTGGGCTTCAGAGTCGCATTTGAAGATTGAAAATTTTAGCTCAGATAACCTTAAAGGTGTCCCCCAGCTCTAAAATCCAAAGACCCATGACAATTATATAGGAGAAAAAATGAGGGCTTAGAAGGGACTAAAGCAGAGTGGAGAAGAGCCTGTAGGCATGGGCCAGGCTACCACAGTGCATCTCCCAAGCAGCATCGCCCCACCAGGGCAGCCAAGCACAGAGTGCAGCAAGTTGCTTACAGAATTACTTCATCCTGAGATTAGGAACACACCAGCAAGTGTAGGTTCTCTCCTACACAGCCTACCCATTTTTGGAGTTTTAATCACAGGTGGGAGAATATGCCTGGCCAGAGAATAAGTCATATTTTAGGCTCATGCTTGCCCCCGATTCCTCCACTGGCTGAAAGTGATCCTCAGCCCATGGAGGGGAAGCCTTATTTGCCTCTCCCTTGGTTCAGTCCCCACGCCCACCCCAAGTCCCTGGGAGTAGCCAAGCCCAGCACACCCATGACAATGTAAAGAGATTCTGATTTGGGGACCCAGTTACTTGCCATGCAGCTCAAGCAGCCCAACACCTGACCATTTTAAGCTTTAAGAAAGGGGTCTTCAGCAAACTGCCTTATTGTAAACCATAATTCAGTAAGTCAACAATTTTAAAGGATGATTAGACCATGTTTTTTAAAGCAATGAATCTTAATAATTCTATACTTGAAAATCTCAAAGAGAATACTTTCGATTTATTTGGTATAAAAGGATCTAGAAATTATCCAAATGAAGACTAAATTTTATAATCCTGATGCAATAAATCTTATATTTAGAGGTTCAGAACATTTTCCGGTTTTATTAAATCCTATTCAGATGCTCTGGGAAAACAAAAATTTGGACTGAGTTTTACCTGACCATAAGCCAAAAAAAAAAAAAGAAAGGAAAAAGATGGTCCCTTCTAGATATGATGGCTCTTCATTAACAAACACTGTGTGAGGTGGTCTCCATCTGACAGCAGAATGTTTTCTTCCAGTAGCACTGCCTCCAGCTCCCCACTTTCCAGCAGCCCAGGAGAAGCTCCCATTGCCTTGACTCCTGTTTCTGACCTGGTTCTGCAGACACTCCAGCCCACTTGTCCTTCCCCTCGGTTGCAGCTATGTGTGTTTGCACACATCACTTCATGCTGCTTCTCCTGCCCCAGGACCTAGTTCCCCTAAAACAAGGACTTTGATTTGATCGCCTGCCTGTCCTTGGTCTGCAAAGTAACAGGCCAGTGGGAATGGCTGTCCTCCTCAGCACGTGCTCATGACTGCTGTGTTTTGTCTGTTCCCTTGTGTGTGTGGTTTTGTCTCTCTCCCTCCTATTCTGTTGTACTTTGCTGGGATTTTCCCATCATTTTCTTGAGGGACTGAAGAGAGATTTGGTTGAGTAGCAGGGAACCCATGACTAGTTCTTGTGTGGGGTCAGTGTTACACAAATTCTGCTTCTGGCAAGGACAACGGACTTACTGATAAACCATTTGCACAAAAGATATTCCTTCTTTTTTTGCATTTTGTCACACCTGTCATTTTCTTTCAGCCTTCCTCATCCAAATAGCATGCATGGGAATCTAGATTAAATGGGATTAAATGATCAATCCATTCAGCCTTTTCACACAAAAGCCCTATTCTTTCAAGGGGAAACATTTAATTCAACTTTTTCAAAGCTCTGTTTTGTTGTCCAAAGTTTTTAGATGTAACCAGATACCATCAAATGAACTGACAAGTTTTATCTTTGATATGATTATTTAATATAGACTACCACTAGATAATTCACAGGGATAACTCTCAAGAGTTGAAATCTTCCTTTGATGGTTCTTCAACTTCTACCAGGTAATCCGTTCCTATTCTACCTTGACTTTGGCAAGCACACATCCCAGACTTTTCAGGATCATTTTGGTTTTAAATATTCTAAATGTACTTGTACCTATTAGAATCTTTACCCTTATTTTGTGCTTAAAAGGATGGTTAGGCCATGGAGGAGGAAAGCCCTGGCTGGAGAGGCCCTGACCAGTCTCTCTTTTGGCATCAACACCTGCTTTATGTGGAGCCTCTTCTACCATCTCCCTCCCCACCCGAGGGAGGAAAGGCCAGCCACGATGGTCTCCCCACAGACATGGGACCAGCTGAAGAAAGCAGAACCCTTCAGAAAGCGCATCTGCCCTGACTTAATCCGAAAACACAGCCAACTGCTGTGATGCACAGGCAGGCAGAATGTGGTGATATGGAGGAATGCCACCTGCTAGAGCTGCGAGCCTCACAAGGACTCAGTCCTGAAACAGCCAGCCAGTCTTCTGGGAGCAGGAAGTTCATTCTGCTGCTGTTTCAAGAGAAAAACAAAAATTGGCAAAAGGGGCAGAAGACCTAGAAGAGACTTCTCCTGACCTAGACAATAGAGAAAGGCCACGTAGCAGAGGGAAGGAAGTCAGGGGCAGCAACAACCACAGCAATTGACCACCACCTGTGTGTCTAGCCCACTCAGGAAGCCGGGTGATGGAAGCTACAGCTGACAAGACACTCCAGGGGGCCATCTGGGCGAGGCCTTTAGCAGACGAGGCACCAGGGCACAGAGATGCAGTGCTCCCCCTCTGCTGGCGGCAGGGTGATTCCGAGACATTCTTCGGCGAGCTGCTTCTGTCAGGAGGCTGGGCCCCAGCAGCTGTGCAGGCCACCACGTGCCTAGAACCTTACGCTGGGGCTATAAGTAGAGTGGCAAGGCACTGCTCACTCTCCAGCCAGAAGCTCTTCCCTCACAGGACCACGACTTTCCAGAAGGCTGAGCCACAACAAGACCACCTGTATCCCTGGCCCCTATTAACAGCCTGACAAAAGTGAAGCCAGCAGCACTTACCAAATGTGCCTGGCTCTCCCCGAGTGATTTCACAGCTTCCTCTCACCTCTCTAAGAAGCACTGATGTTTCTTTGCATTCTCAAAATACTGTGAGGTGACGATGACATATGACCAAGAAGGGAAAAGAAGTGACTGCCCTCTCCCCCGTCAGCAGCTGAACCCCAGGGACAGAGGAGGAGTAGAGAGGCGTGAGGTGCGGCAACTCACTGGCCTGTGGGACTGTGCAGTCAGGTGGACACACACCATTTCCAAGCTATTTAACAGCACTTATGGGCATGACCAAAAAAAATGAAAGAATAGACCCCTTCATGATAAGAAACAAAGCAGAGGCAGCAGGACCTCTGCTGGCCAACACCTGCTCAGCTTCCGTTTGTACCTGTGCACATCCGCTTGAAGTCTTTCCTCTCTCAGGAGGCTTGTGGCCGCAGTCCCCTGGCCCCCAGGCTTCCCGGGCCTGTCCCTGCCCCAGGGAGACCATACTCCATAACTTCACACGAAGTCCCCAGGTAGAATACCAGCCCTGAGGCACTGAGATGCCTCTACTGTTAAGCCACAGTCTATTTCACACCTTGTGTGTACTGCTTCTGATCAAACACTGTAAAACAACAGAAGCATGCATGGAACAGGCAGAACATTGCCCGCCTCCTCTAGTTCCTGTGCACAGCAAGCAAGACAGTGATAGGAGGGTTGAGGCACTTCTGGTTTTGATTCCCCTCCACAGTTCCTAAGCATCCCAGTCTTAGCTGTCCTCTTTTAGACTTCTTACCAATGTTTTCCAGTTAGAGCATGTTTGCTATTTTAATATCCCCACCTAATGAGTAGCCCTACTCCCTTCAAGATTTTCATTAATGTCTTCAGTAAATTCTTCCCCAAAACACATCTTTTTCGCTAATTGTTTTAATCGTAAAGGGTACCAAAAGCAATTATGATGTCACCTCTTCCATTTCCTGAGTTCAGATGAAAACCGACACTTTTAAAGTATGGCTTGTTTTGACTCAGTACTAAGGGAAAATGTGACACAGTCAGCAACCATATGAGAGCAAAAGAGCAGCCAGGATACAAGGGAAAGGCCAAAAAAGTGTGCTGACCAGCATCCAGTTCACATCAGCAAATAGCTGAGATCCAGCTCGCTCACATGCTGTCTGTCACATCAGTTGACTGAAGAATATGTGGAGCACTCTCACCGGCAGAAACTCCCCATATCTGGGCACTGACCGCTCCTCGCGTGTGTGTTGACTGTTGGCGCTGAGAATGGCCCCTCTCCACATCTAGCCTTTCATCCTGAACAAACAGATCCAGTTCTCTGGAATTAGAGGAAAGGCCCGCATTTCCTCCCGCACCTCAAACCCTCATCAGCTAGGCTAGTCCTGAGGTCCTAGTCCCTGACTCATCCTTCAGTTGTGCAAGAAGGCCAGTTTGTGGGAAATGGGGCGGCTGATCCCCTGGGTTACTGAGTGTACGGCTGGCCTTCTCTGCCATCTCCTTACCAAAGTAAGAGAGAAAAGTTGTGTTTTATCCTTTCTCCTCAGTCCCTTCAGCCATCCAATGGCTCCTCAGAGAGCCCAGAAAATGGGTTTAAGTATACAGATGTTACAGGCCTCTGCCACTAATGTTTTTTTTTACATGCTTCTAAGCTCTACGCAGAAAGCTTTTATTTCAAAAAGATAACAGTCCTTGCCAGTAGCATATTGCATGGAATTAAGATGTACTGTCTACCTGTATGTCTCAGGGAATTTTGATCACTGGCCTAGGGAGTGAGGGTTATCATTGCTCAGGGGTTTCTGGTTGTTGTTTGTACGTGCACCATTATGATGTACTACTTCATAGTCTCGTTTTTCATTCCATGTCAGTTTAATTGGTGTGTTAGCTGCATGCATTTGTTGTACTTGTGTCAAATGATTCTCTAACTTCCTTTGGAAAGCACTAATGAAAAGTGCTATTTCTCTTCTCTATTGTTGGGTTTTTTGTAAAGTTGCTCAAATGCTCTCAGGTATGGCGGCTCTGAATGGAGGACTTGGCGCCACAGGCTTGACGAATGGCACGGCGGGCACCATGGACGCCCTCACCCAGGCCTACTCAGGGATTCAACAGTACGCGGCCGCGGCACTGCCCACGCTGTACAGCCAGAGCCTGCTGCAACAGCAGAGCGCCGCGGGCAGCCAGAAGGAAGGTAGGCCTGCCCCGGCCCAGGGCAGCCCGCTGCGGCCAGCCCAAGGGCAGCGTTCACCTTCAACACAGGTTGCAGAGAAACTGGAGTGAGCCAGCTTCATAAGAGACAGTGATTGTTTTAGTTCTGCTTTGCACGTTGTGTTATTTAAGAAACCTGACCAGCTTAAGCCATTTGTTTCAATCTTCTTTCCTAGTCAGTCTAAAATTTATCTTTTAATTTTTCATCTACCTCTTAAGATGGATTTCTCACCCTCTGCACTCTTACAACTAGTAGTTGCTGCCATCAAAAAATTGCCAGCCCCCCTACCTGCCTCTTGCCACATCAGCATGGAGCATCTATGACTTCTTCCCTTACAGAGAACCGCTTGTTAGTGAAGGGATGGACTTGACAGAGCTTCTGTGGGTGCAGTGCTCTCTGGCCTGGCCCGGGTTTCATGGAGTCCACATACCCTGTGATTGTGTGGCTTGCCTCTTAATAGGCAACAATTTCAAGATTAAAGATGAAATCTACCAGTAGAGTTGACATGGTCTTTGTTTAATAGGGGGACTTCTGGGGAAGCAAATAGGTGACTGACTGCCCTGCTTCTCTGCCAATAAGGCGAAGTAAGTGTCAGGAAGTTAATGCTAAGAATAAATTAAAGCTGATTACAAAATAGTTCATGAGCTAATCCAAAAAGGGACTTTTTCTCACTTCCTTTTGTTTTCTTCCTCCTCAATTGAAGTTGCTGTAAGGCACAATCTGCAGCGTGGTGTTCTCTCTCCTCTCCTTTAGAGCTCGGGAAAAGCAGCTAGAATAGGGAAGTACTGCTGGGAGTTTCTTTTCATTTCCTTGCCATCACTGTGTAGTTCCACACTGTTTCAGTCAGAATACTTTGACTTTAAAGATAGTGTTTTATAAGAAATACAGTAGTTTTAAAGTTTGAATGTGTAAAGTTGTGAACTTTAAAGGGAACACAACTTTAAAAATACTCATGTAAATAACAGAAATCATTAACTTAGATTTTTGTATGTCTCACTTTTATTTTTCATTATTCCAGCTTTCCCTTTACTCTCAGCTGTGGCTGTTCATGTAGATTTTTAAAACATGTGAAACTGTTCAGATGACTGTGTTCCCAGACATGTGGAAACCCTCTGTCATAAATGCCAGGACTTCCCTGTACTGAGGTCCCTTTGTCTGGGTTCTGACTACCATGGTGACCAATAATGGCAACAGGAGGGGTCTTGTAAGATCATGACGTCCTCACAAGGGACCTACAAGCCAGTTCCTGCACGTGTTTCAGGGAATGGTGTTCGCTTCTCTGCCACCTGCTGCAGGGCCATAGACCACACCATGTAACCTGTGTCTCTGAGGAAAGTCGCCAGCAGACTCAAACGTAGTGGTTCAGGGATTAAGTCTGGGCCCTGAACAGTATTTTTCAGCCCAGCCCAATGCCCTACATCTCCAGGCCTTGAGCTCTAAGGATTGCTCTCAAGTGATTAACCCTCTGGGATTCATGTGAAAGAGTTTGAGATAACTAGTAACACCTCCACATTATTTCTCTCTAGGTATGTGGGCTACCAGTAGCATGGTTTAATGTTAGATTATTTTTGATGTTGGTGGTTTTTGGTTTTCTCAGTTCTTTAATATCTCCCACCTTCTCATACCTGTCTTCTGATCACCTTCTGGACCAGTCAGCATGTTCTCCAAATAGTTACACCATCTTACTATTAGTTTAAAACTAACTTAATTTTAATTCTTCTTCATATTTTCTGTGTCCCCTTATCTGGCGCAGATACACTGAGAATATACAGCCTTCTAGAATGCCATGGCCATCCAGGCATAACCAGTAATAGTGCATTCTCCCTCCTATTCTGTTGTACTTTGCTGGGATTTTCCCATCATTTTCTTGAGGGACTGAAGAGAGATTTGGTTGAGTAGCAGGGAACCCATGACTAGTTCTTGTGTGGGGTCAGTGTTACACAAATTCTGCTTCTGGCAAGGACAAGGGACTTACTGATAAACCATTTGCACAAAAGATATTCCTTCTTTTTTTGCATTTTGTCACACCTGTCATTTTCTTTCAGCCTTCCTCATCCAAATAGCATGCATGGGAATCTAGATTAAATGGGATTAAATGATCAATCCATTCAGCCTTTTCACACAAAAGCCCTATTCTTTCAAGGGGAAACATTTAATTCAACTTTTTCAAAGCTCTGTTTTGTTGTCCAAAGTTTTTAGATGTAACCAGATACCATCAAATGAACTGACAAGTTTTATCTTTGATATGATTATTTAATATAGACTACCACTAGATAATTCACAGGGATAACTCTCAAGAGTTGAAATCTTCCTTTGATGGTTCTTCAACTTCTACCAGGTAATCCGTTCCTATTCTACCTTGACTTTGGCAAGCACACATCCCAGACTTTTCAGGATCATTTTGGTTTTAAATATTCTAAATGTACTTGTACCTATTAGAATCTTTACCCTTATTTTGTGCTTAAAAGGATGGTTAGGCCATGGAGGAGGAAAGCCCTGGCTGGAGAGGCCCTGACCAGTCTCTCTTTTGGCATCAACACCTGCTTTATGTGGAGCCTCTTCTACCATCTCCCTCCCCACCCGAGGGAGGAAAGGCCAGCCACGATGGTCTCCCCACAGACATGGGACCAGCTGAAGAAAGCAGAACCCTTCAGAAAGCGCATCTGCCCTGACTTAATCCGAAAACACAGCCAACTGCTGTGATGCACAGGCAGGCAGAATGTGGTGATATGGAGGAATGCCACCTGCTAGAGCTGCGAGCCTCACAAGGACTCAGTCCTGAAACAGCCAGCCAGTCTTCTGGGAGCAGGAAGTTCATTCTGCTGCTGTTTCAAGAGAAAAACAAAAATTGGCAAAAGGGGCAGAAGACCTAGAAGAGACTTCTCCTGACCTAGACAATAGAGAAAGGCCACGTAGCAGAGGGAAGGAAGTCAGGGGCAGCAACAACCACAGCAATTGACCACCACCTGTGTGTCTAGCCCACTCAGGAAGCCGGGTGATGGAAGCTACAGCTGACAAGACACTCCAGGGGGCCATCTGGGCGAGGCCTTTAGCAGACGAGGCACCAGGGCACAGAGATGCAGTGCTCCCCCTCTGCTGGCGGCAGGGTGATTCCGAGACATTCTTCGGCGAGCTGCTTCTGTCAGGAGGCTGGGCCCCAGCAGCTGTGCAGGCCACCACGTGCCTAGAACCTTACGCTGGGGCTATAAGTAGAGTGGCAAGGCACTGCTCACTCTCCAGCCAGAAGCTCTTCCCTCACAGGACCACGACTTTCCAGAAGGCTGAGCCACAACAAGACCACCTGTATCCCTGGCCCCTATTAACAGCCTGACAAAAGTGAAGCCAGCAGCACTTACCAAATGTGCCTGGCTCTCCCCGAGTGATTTCACAGCTTCCTCTCACCTCTCTAAGAAGCACTGATGTTTCTTTGCATTCTCAAAATACTGTGAGGTGACGATGACATATGACCAAGAAGGGAAAAGAAGTGACTGCCCTCTCCCCCGTCAGCAGCTGAACCCCAGGGACAGAGGAGGAGTAGAGAGGCGTGAGGTGCGGCAACTCACTGGCCTGTGGGACTGTGCAGTCAGGTGGACACACACCATTTCCAAGCTATTTAACAGCACTTATGGGCATGACCAAAAAAAATGAAAGAATAGACCCCTTCATGATAAGAAACAAAGCAGAGGCAGCAGGACCTCTGCTGGCCAACACCTGCTCAGCTTCCGTTTGTACCTGTGCACATCCGCTTGAAGTCTTTCCTCTCTCAGGAGGCTTGTGGCCGCAGTCCCCTGGCCCCCAGGCTTCCCGGGCCTGTCCCTGCCCCAGGGAGACCATACTCCATAACTTCACACGAAGTCCCCAGGTAGAATACCAGCCCTGAGGCACTGAGATGCCTCTACTGTTAAGCCACAGTCTATTTCACACCTTGTGTGTACTGCTTCTGATCAAACACTGTAAAACAACAGAAGCATGCATGGAACAGGCAGAACATTGCCCGCCTCCTCTAGTTCCTGTGCACAGCAAGCAAGACAGTGATAGGAGGGTTGAGGCACTTCTGGTTTTGATTCCCCTCCACAGTTCCTAAGCATCCCAGTCTTAGCTGTCCTCTTTTAGACTTCTTACCAATGTTTTCCAGTTAGAGCATGTTTGCTATTTTAATATCCCCACCTAATGAGTAGCCCTACTCCCTTCAAGATTTTCATTAATGTCTTCAGTAAATTCTTCCCCAAAACACATCTTTTTCGCTAATTGTTTTAATCGTAAAGGGTACCAAAAGCAATTATGATGTCACCTCTTCCATTTCCTGAGTTCAGATGAAAACCGACACTTTTAAAGTATGGCTTGTTTTGACTCAGTACTAAGGGAAAATGTGACACAGTCAGCAACCATATGAGAGCAAAAGAGCAGCCAGGATACAAGGGAAAGGCCAAAAAAGTGTGCTGACCAGCATCCAGTTCACATCAGCAAATAGCTGAGATCCAGCTCGCTCACATGCTGTCTGTCACATCAGTTGACTGAAGAATATGTGGAGCACTCTCACCGGCAGAAACTCCCCATATCTGGGCACTGACCGCTCCTCGCGTGTGTGTTGACTGTTGGCGCTGAGAATGGCCCCTCTCCACATCTAGCCTTTCATCCTGAACAAACAGATCCAGTTCTCTGGAATTAGAGGAAAGGCCCGCATTTCCTCCCGCACCTCAAACCCTCATCAGCTAGGCTAGTCCTGAGGTCCTAGTCCCTGACTCATCCTTCAGTTGTGCAAGAAGGCCAGTTTGTGGGAAATGGGGCGGCTGATCCCCTGGGTTACTGAGTGTACGGCTGGCCTTCTCTGCCATCTCCTTACCAAAGTAAGAGAGAAAAGTTGTGTTTTATCCTTTCTCCTCAGTCCCTTCAGCCATCCAATGGCTCCTCAGAGAGCCCAGAAAATGGGTTTAAGTATACAGATGTTACAGGCCTCTGCCACTAATGTTTTTTTTTACATGCTTCTAAGCTCTACGCAGAAAGCTTTTATTTCAAAAAGATAACAGTCCTTGCCAGTAGCATATTGCATGGAATTAAGATGTACTGTCTACCTGTATGTCTCAGGGAATTTTGATCACTGGCCTAGGGAGTGAGGGTTATCATTGCTCAGGGGTTTCTGGTTGTTGTTTGTACGTGCACCATTATGATGTACTACTTCATAGTCTCGTTTTTCATTCCATGTCAGTTTAATTGGTGTGTTAGCTGCATGCATTTGTTGTACTTGTGTCAAATGATTCTCTAACTTCCTTTGGAAAGCACTAATGAAAAGTGCTATTTCTCTTCTCTATTGTTGGGTTTTTTGTAAAGTTGCTCAAATGCTCTCAGGTATGGCGGCTCTGAATGGAGGACTTGGCGCCACAGGCTTGACGAATGGCACGGCGGGCACCATGGACGCCCTCACCCAGGCCTACTCAGGGATTCAACAGTACGCGGCCGCGGCACTGCCCACGCTGTACAGCCAGAGCCTGCTGCAACAGCAGAGCGCCGCGGGCAGCCAGAAGGAAGGTAGGCCTGCCCCGGCCCAGGGCAGCCCGCTGCGGCCAGCCCAAGGGCAGCGTTCACCTTCAACACAGGTTGCAGAGAAACTGGAGTGAGCCAGCTTCATAAGAGACAGTGATTGTTTTAGTTCTGCTTTGCACGTTGTGTTATTTAAGAAACCTGACCAGCTTAAGCCATTTGTTTCAATCTTCTTTCCTAGTCAGTCTAAAATTTATCTTTTAATTTTTCATCTACCTCTTAAGATGGATTTCTCACCCTCTGCACTCTTACAACTAGTAGTTGCTGCCATCAAAAAATTGCCAGCCCCCCTACCTGCCTCTTGCCACATCAGCATGGAGCATCTATGACTTCTTCCCTTACAGAGAACCGCTTGTTAGTGAAGGGATGGACTTGACAGAGCTTCTGTGGGTGCAGTGCTCTCTGGCCTGGCCCGGGTTTCATGGAGTCCACATACCCTGTGATTGTGTGGCTTGCCTCTTAATAGGCAACAATTTCAAGATTAAAGATGAAATCTACCAGTAGAGTTGACATGGTCTTTGTTTAATAGGGGGACTTCTGGGGAAGCAAATAGGTGACTGACTGCCCTGCTTCTCTGCCAATAAGGCGAAGTAAGTGTCAGGAAGTTAATGCTAAGAATAAATTAAAGCTGATTACAAAATAGTTCATGAGCTAATCCAAAAAGGGACTTTTTCTCACTTCCTTTTGTTTTCTTCCTCCTCAATTGAAGTTGCTGTAAGGCACAATCTGCAGCGTGGTGTTCTCTCTCCTCTCCTTTAGAGCTCGGGAAAAGCAGCTAGAATAGGGAAGTACTGCTGGGAGTTTCTTTTCATTTCCTTGCCATCACTGTGTAGTTCCACACTGTTTCAGTCAGAATACTTTGACTTTAAAGATAGTGTTTTATAAGAAATACAGTAGTTTTAAAGTTTGAATGTGTAAAGTTGTGAACTTTAAAGGGAACACAACTTTAAAAATACTCATGTAAATAACAGAAATCATTAACTTAGATTTTTGTATGTCTCACTTTTATTTTTCATTATTCCAGCTTTCCCTTTACTCTCAGCTGTGGCTGTTCATGTAGATTTTTAAAACATGTGAAACTGTTCAGATGACTGTGTTCCCAGACATGTGGAAACCCTCTGTCATAAATGCCAGGACTTCCCTGTACTGAGGTCCCTTTGTCTGGGTTCTGACTACCATGGTGACCAATAATGGCAACAGGAGGGGTCTTGTAAGATCATGACGTCCTCACAAGGGACCTACAAGCCAGTTCCTGCACGTGTTTCAGGGAATGGTGTTCGCTTCTCTGCCACCTGCTGCAGGGCCATAGACCACACCATGTAACCTGTGTCTCTGAGGAAAGTCGCCAGCAGACTCAAACGTAGTGGTTCAGGGATTAAGTCTGGGCCCTGAACAGTATTTTTCAGCCCAGCCCAATGCCCTACATCTCCAGGCCTTGAGCTCTAAGGATTGCTCTCAAGTGATTAACCCTCTGGGATTCATGTGAAAGAGTTTGAGATAACTAGTAACACCTCCACATTATTTCTCTCTAGGTATGTGGGCTACCAGTAGCATGGTTTAATGTTAGATTATTTTTGATGTTGGTGGTTTTTGGTTTTCTCAGTTCTTTAATATCTCCCACCTTCTCATACCTGTCTTCTGATCACCTTCTGGACCAGTCAGCATGTTCTCCAAATAGTTACACCATCTTAGTATTAGTTTAAAACTAACTTAATTTTAATTCTTCTTCATATTTTCTGTGTCCCCTTATCTGGCGCAGATACACTGAGAATATACAGCCTTCTAGAATGCCATGGCCATCCAGGCATAACCAGTAATAGTGCATTAAAACTGCATTTTCTCCCCAGGCTTCAGGAGGTGAAATGACTTCACAATTCAAATTGAGTCCCATATCTTTAGAAGGAAGAATAAATCTGGGTAGTACCAGATTTGCCTGATATACATACCGCAAAAGGTGTGCGTGGCACAGAAGCAACTCACAACATCCATTTCCAATGTGTTGGTTTTGCATCTACTCATATTGTTTGGGTTTTTCAAGTTTTTTTTTTTTTTTTAAACCAGGAAACATTGGGCGATGTAAGCCCTGTAATTATGTTCCCTTTAAATACACACTGCCTCCCTTGCACTGGAATATTCATGTATGTCCATGGAAACTGTGAGGGGTATAGGAAGCTGAAGTGGTCGTGTTGGTACTTAAATAAGGAAAAATGCTTCCTATCTTTGTGACTTTAGAAATTTGCCTCAGGAAGACTTATATTTTGTGAGAAGAAATCTGATTTGACTTTTCTTTGCAAAGGTATTTTATCTCATTTCTACAAAGTTCTTTTTTACCCCAGTTTTACTTTTCTTCAACCTGCCCATGTGTAGGTATGGGATACGTACCCCTACCCCCAGGGCAGGCAGCCCCAGTCCCTCCTCTGTGAATGCCAGTTAAGGTGCCATGAACCAGCGGCAGAGGTGACTTCACCAGTTTTGTGAACTCTCTTCTCACCCACACAACATGCCCAGAACATAGAACATCCTAGAGGCATTTAGGCCTGGGCCCACTCCAGCACCCTTTGACCTGGAAAGCGTTTGTGCCTGTTAACATATTAGCATATCATTACCCTCCATCAGGTCATTTGGATCCCTTCCTTCTTTCTATTTTCAACCTTCAGACAATTCTCATGAGGGTGGCTAGAGAGCTAGGAAAATGACATGGAGAAGAATGTGAGAGAGCTTACCTCTCCAACCAGTATAGCTAGGAAGATCTTCCCTATTTTTGCCCTTGTTTCTTGTATTTCTGAAAAGTGATGGTTTAAAGTGGAGAGCCTGGCTTAGCTTAGTCTTTGACTAGCCTCTGAACCTCATGCATTCATTTCCAAGGCCAGTTCCCAGTGGCATAATTCCTATCACAGTTCTGAAACTCTGACTACCTATTTTTCTCTACCTTGATTCATTGCCAGTCATTTCTAATAAAAATGATTATTAGACTGCATATTAAGAGATTTGGCAAATCAAAACTGGATGGATAATTGAGAAATCCAAGCAGCATTACTGCTATACCCTTTACTCCAAACTGCTGCAATTTGCTTAGAATACACAGAACATTCTCTCCTCCAAGAGGTAGTATATACATTCTACAAAAAAAAAAAAACACACTCAGGAAAAACCCACGCCTGCAATTCCTCCCCTATTTTATTCATGACTGTACCTTCACCCCCATGAAGAGGAGATTGAAAATGGGCTCATGTGCTTGAGCAAATATGACCCACAGAAGATGATCAGTGAAAAGGAAGCCATTCTTACCACTGGCAATCCACTGAAAATCAGGAAAATCTGAAGGATGATTCCTGACATAAAAGACATACAAGCACTTGATACTTACCCACCTATATTTCATTCTCTTTGAGTGGGAGAGAAAGCCAGATGCTTACCCTATTTGTGTTAAAGCATTCCTAAGAAGAGATTTTGGGAACTAAGAAGCTAAGAATACCTTACTCTTGATTTTTTTCTCCTCTTTAGGTCCAGAGGGTGCAAATCTCTTTATTTACCACCTTCCACAGGAGTTTGGAGACCAGGACATTCTGCAGATGTTCATGCCTTTTGGAAATGTTATCTCTGCTAAAGTCTTCATTGACAAACAGACCAATCTGAGCAAGTGCTTTGGTATGCAAAGAAACCAAGCTAGACTATTACAGTACATTTCCAAGTGATGAATCGTGGGAAGGAAAATGTAAATGGCAAATATTTTAGAAATCAGGATAGGGCCTTTCCTGTGTAGGGGTGTTTCCTGCTCTTCTGGATCCATGTAAGCAGACTGGGCAAAGACATTTGATCCAAATAGGAAGAAGGATCTGGGAAACTAAACTAGGTGCCCATATATTACATAATGTTGCATACTGTACTATTAAAGTGTCTGACTACATATATCTAATAATCTTCCATTGTAGGGCAGCAGCAGTTTACTTAAGCCCTATAGTTTGAACCACAAACTTTACCAGATGGGAAATGTAGGTAACAGACTGAAGTGGGATTTAGGCTGTCCTGATTACAGGGTGGCACTGCAGGCACTTTGCCAGGAATTCCATACCCGTCCAGGTTCCACATGACTCAGACACTATGACTGTGGACGGCACAGTGCGTCAGTGGCTTGTTGTTCAGCTCCTTGCTCTACATACACGTAGTCACAAATGCAGTCACCTTCTCAGCCATGGTGTGGCCAGGCTAACATGAGCGCAGGGGCGGGTGGTGGATGCACCTCATGGTCTCAGCAAACACTGCACTACACTGGGGTTCAGGAGCCAGAAAGCGGGAAGCTAGGACCTGCCTGAGTGGATGGAGAGCTCAGAAGATGCAGGTATTCTCAGGACAGTGGAAAATCCAGCTCCTCAGTGGCAGAGCTGTCCTGCCCTCCTTCCTCAAGCAGTCGGGACTCTGCACTGCCAGGGTGAGCTTTGCTACCTGAGAGAAAAAGGTATGCTCATTGCGTGCTGTTTGATAACAGGAGGACAGCAGTCATTAAGTCAATTTTTGTTTCATTTTTCAAAGCCTTTTGGTTCCCAAAGTAGAATGTTCAGAGGGTAAATGACTTTCTTGGCAGGTTCCCACCCAGGTGGAGACAGGACATTCACTTCAATCACTCCTCCAGTTTAATAATTCATGTGGGTAGTAGGTAGTAATAGTAATACAAAACAGAATATAAGCAAAATAGATATGGGCCAGAGGAAATACGAACAAGAATTGTATGTACAAAGATAGGGGTGGTTCCCAAACAGCCAGAAATCCAAACTTTGTATCTGGCTGACTGAGAATGGGCAACCAGTCAGAAGAGAATGCTTTGGCTTCTAAAATTCCATTATCATAACGACTTTCTCACTTCTGTGCCATCACCCAGGAAGGTCTGACGCCTCTGTTGTTAGGAGAATTAGTAGGTCAATCATTTAAAGTCACTGTTTTCACTCCAGTGGAAAAGCTGTCAGCATGAGCCCATTGTGAGACTGCTGTGGCAAGTCCACCCCCTCGCAATGGTTCCCGAGAGAGTGAAATGGAAAGGAAGTTGTTTAACAGGGTGTGCATGTTGCAGTGTGAGCTTACTGTGGGGAGCTTCCTTGTACGAAGTTTTGAGCCAGACTTTCAGATTATTCATTGCTACACAATGTCCTGGGCTTATTTGGAGGTTGGAAAGGGATTGTGCCTTGATTTTGATAAAGTATTTACTGCCCAAAAAGAGGTATCAGCTCACAATTGTATTTAGCATTATGTACTGTGTTTTCAATTTTATTAGAAGCTGTTGCACCCATACCTGATTTCTCAGCTACCCAATTTCTTGGGGTCCCAGATGACTAGTTGCAATGTGGTGTCCCATTCTTTCATTCTAACCACTTGTCTAGATTTCATTATCTACTTCATCCTTGACCCAATTCCATTCTTTAATCATCTTGCTACTTCTGGATAAAGACCTAGAAGGAAAGTAGAAAAATCTTGGACTCAAGATCATATTTACTGAGAATCAGATTTCATAAAACTTTAAACCCCACCATTTTACAATATTTTACAATACAGCCTGCCTATGAGAAGCTCTTCTGCCTTAGACCATATGCTCATTTTTATCAGCTGGAACTCTGCAGAAGTACATGTATATTTGCAATCTCTTCTTCCTCCTCTAGTTTGTAAAGGAACTTCAGCTGTATGCTTTAGTAGTAGAGAGATGGAGAAGCTTAGTATAGAACCTTCTAAACAGCTGATGTTCAGGACTAATATTCAAGCAGTAAAATAGCTTCCTTTCAACATCCAAAGTAAAGAGGGGCAGCACGAGCTCAGCACTCCTGCATCAGCATTAACTGAAAGAAAGCTTTGTGGGTGCCTCCCCCAGCCCCCAAAGTCAGATCATACTGACCAGAATTCTGTTTCTGTGTCTTCACAGAGCACCACTGGTTCTTTTAAACAAGCAGACCTCCCATCACCTCCACTCAGTGGTGAGTGTTGGTACAGAGAAAAATAGTGGGAAGTCTGTTCTGATAGCTGTGAAGCCCTGAGCTGTTCAGACTATCCCCCAAAACTCTAAAGAACACAAGGTAGCAGTTTCCATTCTGTTCAATTCAGTGGAGATTTGAAGATAGAAGTTGATACGAGGAGAAGGGCCCTGCGTTTCTCCTGGATCCCTAGGTTCCTCTCGGTCATAACTCCAAACTGTTAAAAAAAAATCAAGTATAAATGATTCTAGAGTTAATTCACTGACTCCATCCTACAGCTGAACAGGTGTGCGCTCTGTGACTACAGATGGAGAACTGAAATGAGAGGCAGGGTGGGTGCTGGGCAACAGATCTTGGTAACCAACCTCTCCTTAATTTGCCTCCCTTTCAACCTCACATTGTTGAGACAGGTGAGCCTCTGGTGGCCCCTCGAGCCCTGTCATATTTAGGCCACTGATATGAGCTCATATTTAGACCATTAATATACTAATATGAGCAGCACATACTTACGTACCGGCGGTTCTTTCAGAGGGATTCTTGAATACAAATGGATTTGACTGAAATCAGTAAACATACTAAAATTCACTGAAACAACAGAGTTTGAGATTTATAGCATTTTGTGAGGGGTGCTGTTCTGATAATACCAAATCACCAATCCAGCCAGCTTTGTCACTGCTTCTCAGTGGACATGTCCACTGTTGTCCCTAAAACAGCCAATGAACTGAGCCTGCAGGATGGGCACACGTTGCTACTCTTCGCAACTGCACACCCAGCCCTCCCATGACGCCCGGCCCCCCGTCCATTCTGCTGCTTCTCCCATCTTGATTCCCACGCTCCTTCCCCTTGTGTTTTCCAGGTTTTGTTAGCTACGACAATCCAGTCTCTGCGCAAGCTGCTATCCAGGCTATGAATGGCTTTCAGATTGGCATGAAACGCTTGAAGGTCCAGCTGAAGCGCTCCAAAAACGACAGCAAACCCTACTGATCCTAACCCCCGAGGCTCCCTGCTCTTATTTTAGCTTTCTTAGGGTAAGTCCCACATGCCAGCCTGTTCTCAACAGGAAAGGCACGGAGGACCACATTGCCAACTTTTACCAAGAGAGACAGTTATTTTTACAATAAGGCCTCCATTTCCCCCTCCCCCACCCAGTTCGCCATAATTAAAACTTGGGCTACCTTGTTTCTAGCGAGTCAACTCCTCCAGTTGTGCCACTGTATTCTCCTTTGTTTTGCAATTTGACTCTCCTTTTACCTTTTTTCATTTCAGTTTGTTGTTTTCATTATTGCTTTTTTAAAGAAAAACACACATCACAAATAAATGACATCTTGAGAACTTAAAAGGCAAACAAAGGCTAATGTGCAATTCTAACTCTGAGACCCCTGGTGCCCTGAGAGCACTGCCTGGAAAATCCACCCCTCCTGTGGGCGCCCATCCCCTAGGAGGGTACCAGCTGTTTAGAGCTTAAGGCGGTGGCCTAGCACAAGAGAGAAGCCAGGAGAAGCACTTAAAACAATACAAAATGTCTTTCCACTACATTTGGTTTGTTTTAATAAGTAGGATTTTATTTTAGGGTTCAAAAAAAACATGACATTTATTGGTCAGATTATTACACTGGTTGTCTATTTTGTTACTGTTTTATTTTAGTTTTTAGAAAGGATTAATGTAAAAAAAAGATTTAGAGATCTGTTTCTTAAAGCTACAGGGTTTAAAAATAAAATAAAAATGAGTGAAAATACTTGATGTTTCTTGAAAGATAAATTTAATAAGTAAATAAATACATAAATAATACATAAATAAAAAAGAAAGCCACAGGCCTGTAAATTTTATTTGTAAAAAAAGCATTTCTATTTTTGTACAAAATTTTTACTGCCTCAGAAATAATGGAAGTTATTTATTGCCTATTGTTAACTTATTGGGTACCTAAAGAGCAGTTCTCTATGCTAGCTAGATCCTTCTGAAGTAGTCTCTAGAGGAATCCTTCTAGGAATGGGCTTTTCTCACCGTTGAACCCTAGGCCTAAAGTTCATGCTTTATCCTCGTTGTTTGTATGTCTGATGGTTCTGTTCGTAACTTCCATCACCTAGTTTACAGTTCAGTCGTCTGGCTTCCCCCATATGTTACATTCGTTGAAACTGGATCCTCTCCCCTGTCCCTTGCCAGCCGCCACCCCTAAAGCCCGGAATCCATCCCCTTTCTCTCTCTGGATGGATTCTCTTGGGGCCCATTGTGCTGTGGATAGCGATTGTAAGACATGCAGAAATGCGGCCGCTCCTAGGCTCCCTGACCACCTAAGATCTGTGCCCTTAACAGTGATTGTGTTGCTGCTCGTAGACTCTGTGTAACCTTTTACTCTCCCTTGTTTTCTCCCTAGACATCTTCATGCCCGTTAGCTCACCGTTTGCCTAGCATGTCCCTGTGGCGTCTCAAAAAAAAAAAGTTTCATCGTCCCGTCATTGTTTCTGATGTCTTTCTGACCTCACATCATATTTGGTTCTCCTACTGACCTTTGATCTAGTTTGACCTTTGAAATTTGCATGTGACCTCATCTAGCTATGAATTCTGGGAAGTCAATGTGAAAAACATTGCTGCATTCATGCAAGACTGAAATTTATTCTTAGACAAATTATAGAAAAAAAAAAACCTGTGGCAAAAACGTTTCTTATTTTTTTTTTTCTTTTCATAAAACAGACTTGAAAGTATTATACAGGGATTGGCATTCTTCCCGGTCACTGGTAACAATAGCAATATGTGTCCAGGGACACAGAATGTTGGTTTCTAACAGACTACTTCCAAAAACAGTTTGAGAAAAAAACTGTCTGATTTTAAGTCTCTAGAGGTCTGTAATAGTTTTTACATTTTTCAGGCAGTGTAAAGTTTTTTGATAAGGCCATTTTAGGTGGCTCACTTTCTCATTAAGATATATATATAGAACCACTTTTTGTAGATTAGTATAAGAAAAATATTTACCCTGTTTTGGGGGCAAATGCTACCTATTTGTGTCACCTTTTGCTGAACTGACTCACAGTTAGACAATCCATGGTTTAATGCACATGAAATTACCTATATTTTATACTGTTTCAATGTACAGGAGAAAGGTTACTGTAAACTGTGTTATGTTGGTGCTTCTGTGAATTAAGTTGTGGTTTCATCATGAGTCTTATGGTCTTAATGTTCTTTGTTGATAAGACAAGTTTAGGATTGGTTTACTTAGAACAAAAAAGAATTTCAAAAAAAAGTTTGCTTAAAAAAATTTTTCATGTGAGGGGAAAAAAACAAAAAAACCTATTCCAGAATAAGATTTGTGTTGGCTTGTAAAGCATTGATGTCTTTCCTTTTTTATCGTGGACTATTTAGATGTGTTTGTGTTCAGCAAAATGTGATTTTTTTTTTCTTTTAAAGAAAAAAAGTGAAAATATATAGTGCCAAATTCCAAAGGTACTTCCTTCCTAGAGCTTCAGTGTGTTTCTTGTGAGAAGTAATTTGATACCATGGGTATTTTATTATGTGTTTTGTATAAATCCCTAATATTTAAAAAACAAAAAACAAAAAAAAGAGGTTAAAAAGTTTGTTAACTTGCTATCCTGTGGTCTTGTTGCCTGAAATTGTTATTGTTTGTTATTTCTCTATGATGTTTTTTGTAAGACATTGTATAAGTGCCCATGTCTCACTTTTTTAACCACTCTCTCTGCACATCAATGCTGTGACAGCAACCTCACAATGTATTTTCTTCATAATATATGGAAACCTCTAAGGTGAGAAAGTTTTGAACTTTTAACCCTTTCTACCCAGAGCTATCTGGAACGTTGATTACTTTTTATACTGTCATCATTTTAGCTTGTTTTGGGATGTTTCTAATTTGAATTTTATTTCTGCACATATCCTCTGAGTTGTTGTTTTGTCTTTACTACTTTTTTATCCTTTGGTTGAGACCCAAAAGAGGAAAAAAAAAAAAACAAGGTATATCGAAATGAAAAAAAATATAACTTTAGCCTCTCCAAATTTTTTCCCCTATTTTTTTCTTTTTTCAGATTCATTTTTTCAAGAATTCTTAATATGCTGCTGGAATTCCATCTTCAGTTTTAATTAAGAACAGTTAATTGGTTAAACCTTCTAAGGGAAATGGTAGATTCAGCACTTATATTCTATATGTTTTTGAGATGAGGTTTAGTGGTATGTTCCAATTTAGACTATTTTCATATACCTTCCAGTTTAACGACTTTATAGTAGGGTAGCCTTTTGAGGGATTTTTGCTTTTATTTCTTAAATACTCCTAATTAATGTTTCTAATCAGCCATTGTGCTGGGGATTTTAGGATCCCAGCAGATACCTCTGAATAAGCAAGGTGTCTGGAGTTAGAAGCTCATGTCCTTTCCCTTTCTTTTTTTTTAATTGAACACATTAAAAGTGACTGACCATACAAGTAAAACTCAGTTCTTCATCAGTTACTGACCAAATACCAGTTCCTGCTGCCACTTTTTAAAGTGCCATGTTACTTTGACTTCATGTGAACAGATCTCTTGCTGTCTGGACAAACCTGTGTCATCCTTACAGCCCCGACACAACTCCTGCCGCCCTGGAAGCCTGCCTGTCTCTAACGGAGCTCAGAAACTGCTGGCTTCCCTGCCTTCCTCCTCTTCCCGCTCACCACTGTCTGGTTTAATGTGTGTGGATGTGATAGCCCTGGGATGGAAAGGACTAGCCTCTAAAGGATGCAAAAAAAAGAAAAAAAAAGTTTCCTTCTTATAGCACATGCACTTAACAATGAAATGATTTGTATTATCCTCACATGTGTTTACTACTGCTGGGGCCTTCCTTCATCCTTTGAGGGCTATTTTGTACTTCCTGCAGCAATTCACTTAATAACAAAAGTTCTCGCACATGTCTCTCACATACGTATTTTTGGTGGTGTGTAGGTACATAAGAACACCATTTGGATTTCTCAGACTGTTTCATTCAGAATCTCAATTATACATCAAAAACAATTTTTTCTGATTTCTAAACTGAAGCAAACCACCCTCCTCCTGTCCGCTTTTCCTTTCAGCCACCGGCATCTTGCCCCGAGGAACTGGGTGCAGGTGACAAGAGGCTCTGGGTGGGCACTTTGAGTGTTTTATTTTGCAGGCAACCAAGACCATGCAGTGGGCGGTGGGGGATGGGGGAGTCCTTTTTTTTTTTTTCACATTTCATTGTTTAACCCTTCTCAGAGACAGCTGTCCTTTTATTCACTTTAACTTTTAATATCAAAAGGAAAAGGCTGCAAGGGTGCAATGGGCCTGTGCCAGAATAAAAAACACACAGGGAAACTGCTTTTTTAAAAAAAATCAAGTGTAGAGAATAGTCATTTTTAAACTAAATTAGAGAATTGCGATATAATGGCAGTCCTCAAAGGTGTAACAAGTTCATCTTTCTTTCACCATAGGGGTTATAGTTCTTTGGCTTGTGCTACTCTGGACTCATTTTACTGTTTGTTTTTATTATCTTAAGTGCTAATTAACAAGAAATAAAATTTTAAAAAAACCTGTAGTTTCATTACCTTTTTGAATAATGTCATACAAAAAAAATGTATTCGTGTTTTTTTGTGCTGTGAGAATTGTTGTTTGTAGATTAATAATACCATTTTGTTTAGAATTACAAAATAGTTTTTAAATATTGTCTGAGAAAAGCCAAAGTTAATGCAACCTAGTGGAAACTGTAAGACCATTTGAGTATTGTTTGTTTTATTGATGCATTTGGATTTTGTTGTTTGATGGAATTTGAGCCAAAAAAAAAAAATGCAGGCTTTCCTATTTCTACAACTGATTGTACTTAACGCATTTTGTACCAGTGGAACTTTTTATACTGGAGATTAAAAAAAATGGAAATTTTCGTGGCTTACTCTAGTGGGCCCCATGACAATGACTGATTTCAAGTTTGATTTCTGGTTGACAGAAAGAAAGTTGCTTTTCTTTTAAGAATTAAAAACTTTGGCTTGATTTCTTTTTTCCCTTTGCTTATATCTAGCACTAGAATTTTGTCTTAAAATACAGCGGTAAGTTTCACTTTTTATTCTGTATTGTGCAGTTACACAATAAGGTAATTAGATTTAGAAGTACTCAGTCACTTTAAGTGGATAAATGTATTAGTTAAAACTTTAGGGGTTTGCTTTTTTGCTGTTTAGAGCAAAGTTTTTTCTGATTCTTCTGTCCTCATTGTGAACATAACCGTGTAGTTGAAACAGTCAGACTTATTTTTGTAATGTATGTTATTGTGTGATGCAGTTTTTTGCTTCTGTCTCCAATATTAAACCATTTTCCTAATACTTGTTTCTCTCTCTGCGTGTTGTATTGTTGGTAGTCATTATATGTTGGTGATACATCTACACACCTCACTGTTTCACGTATCTTTTTTTTTCTATATGTTGTGTAAAAAGATACAGTCGATTCCACCTAAGTGAATATCTGATTTGGGAAAAGAGGAAAACACAAGCCAGCCACCTCTGATTTCTGTATAGCAGCAGCCCATTTTAACCACTGCGTCCAAGACTTAGATGCATTTCTATGGTTCAGCTACATACCTGCTGACAAGGACCTGTTAGGATCTTTTGGCCACACCAGTAACTCCCGCTTTCTCTCCTCTCCTGCTCACTCCTCTCATGGATGGAGGGATGCAGTTCCTGACTAAAGACGGCTGCTGCTCTGCTGGCTCCTACTTGTTAAGTTTCTTGTCTATCCATGAGTCTGAAGGCATATTGTTAGTTACAGCCAACCTCCTCTTAGAAACTAACCACACTTGTAAAAGGTGAGTTCTCACAGAGAAGAAAAAATAAACTTACCTGAACAGGAGTATGAAAGGGTTGAACTTACGTTTATGTGTTGCCATCAATCAGTAGATATGTATAGAAAACTGATTTAAATTATTTAAGAGTTAATTGAATCCAGGAGGAGCTTTAATTATTAAAACTAATGGAAAAGTATTTCCAAGTGCTCAAATGGAAGCGGTGCTCAGTCTGGTGGGGCGGGAGTGGGGGAGGTAGTTTCTCCTACTCACGTATCCATAATACACATCCTTTTCCAAATGAACGCCAAGAATGCCATACACGTCCACACACTCCCTCTTGAATGAACACTTATTTTTTTAAAAACCTTGTCTCCCACTATCCAACCCCAGTTCTCTAAAAGAGAGGCCCTAGGCCCTCCCCCTTTTCTGCCCATCTCTGATGCTCAGGAATCTGACTGCTTTCCAAGTGCTCTTAAACGATTCCATTGATGTTTTGCCGCCCTCCTCTCTCCTTCCAACTTTGCAGATGCACACGCTTTGCTGACTAGGCCACCCGGCAGCACGCAGCCTTCCTCTGGCTGCTGGGGAGATTTTCCCTGCAGGTGCTCAGGCCCTACACCCTCCGGTTTCAGCAGCCCTTCTGGCCCTTAGACTGAATGACAAAGGAGCCTGGGGAGGTGGAGCGGGGGACTCTCCCCACAGACCAACCCCCTCAGTCAAGTGACTTCCACCAGCTCCACACCTGCCCAGAAGGGGGCTGACTGCCTGCCAACTCTTACACTTTACATCTCAACATAGCCTCCAGTGGTTTGCCTCTGAAAATCCACTGCTTACATTAGTGGGGAAAGATGGCTATGGGGGTGACTGCTCTTTTTTGGGAGGGGGTGGGGTATGTTAGGGAGGGGAGAAAGGGTAAAGAGAGTGATCAGTTCTTTCCAAGATGCAAGCATTTATTTTTAAAATAAAAAGTAATATAAGCATATACACACATATATACATCCACCATTTGGCACAAAGCAAAATAGTCATGCTATGTAAAAGAAGGGAACAACAAAGCCAGCTTCTTTGTTGTTTTAGAAAAACAATAATTCTTCAAAGAAGGGGAGAAAAATGCTAGTTTCTTTAGTACTTACAACTGTAAAGTTTGTCCCTGCTAAAATTCACACCGATCACTTTGATTCTGTAAAACACTGCTGCAGTGTCAGCAAGGTGTATGTTTGCCACTCACAGACCACCTTGGGAATTACAGAACCATCATGTTTACCATGCTGATGGAAGCCACACATCTGCCCAAGCCCACAGCAGTTAAAAGCAATCCACAGGTTGGAACTCTTAGCTGGCAGGCTAGGAAACAGTGAACTTAAATGTTCTGTGAATCATTCCTGATAAGTGAATAAAACATTGTGAGCAAACAATCAGCTTATTCACTTATCAGGAATCGACTGTTCTGCTAATTTGCTGTTTTTGTTTTTCATCTTTGTTGTAGTTCACTATTTTTGCTGTGTTCTGTTTTCTTCTCTCATACGTGGGCAAAATCACTGGGAATATTATCTTCATGTGACCATGAAACGTTTATATCAAGTGAAAATGATATCTTAACAAAATCTATGCACTTGCTATCAGGAACACAATACTGGATGTGTCTTATATATATTGAACTATATAGTACTCGATTTCTTAAATAAAACTTAAGAAAGGACTCTTGTGTGTAAAGTTAATGTGATTATTTTTCAAAGCAGTGTTTCTAAAGTATTTCTGTTCAAGTCTTGAGTGATACAGGATACTTTTCATTAAAATGATATCACTGACTTTATGACTTAATATTCAATAAATTACCTTTGGAAACAAAATGGAGTGGGGGGAGTTCTTCTGAGTGCCTTTCAGCAAGATATCTGGAAAAGCATGGCCTCCCAGGTGACCGTGGCAAACCCCCCCAGGGCTCTGTGGGGGGACAGAAGAGAACAATCCCTTCCCTGCCAAAAGAACCCCTGGAAAGCATCCAGTTTCTGTCCTACCTTAGAAAACCCAAAGGCCTTTCTGAATGTGATCTCTTCAGGGCCAAAAGAAAGAGGACAAAAAAGGCAGCTCCAAGGAGAATGCTGGTCTGTGGCGATGCATTTCCAAATGATGTGACACTAAAACTATGCCTGCTGGAAGCAATGTCAGCTCCATTCAGGACCTTTCTCTCAAAATGAGAGAAACCAAGAGAAGGTGTTTGATCATTCAGGATGAGAAGGGTAAAATTTCAAAGCAATATGTGAGGGAGATACCTTATAATAGTTGCAAACCTTAAAGGTGGAAGCCTGCTGCTTGGCCTCTTGAAGGAATACTTTTGAAATTTCTCCTACAGGCTGTTAGTCTGAACAGAATGGCATTTTATGTTAGAATCAAATATCAAGCAAGAAAAAACTATGAAAAACGCCTAAATTTCTACTTGCAAAATGGCACAGGCATCCTAATCCTTTATAAAACAAATCTTATCCCTGATAATGAGAGACAGACAGAACATTGTTCATGAAAAAAAATCCATAGAGAATCCAAAATTATTTCTCCAGTCTCTGCCTCCTCCAACCCAAACCTCCTCAGAAGCTTGTCCTCAAAAACAAAACTACTGAAAGTGAGGGATCAGAGTAATAGCCAAGGGTAACAAAATCAAAGGGCCTAGACAGACTGCACTGGCTGGAGCCGTGCCGTTTGGGGCTGAGGAGAGAGGCTCCACTTTTCAGAAGTTTAATATGAGTCTCAAGGAGCTGTGCTCGCGCACAGGGAGGTGCCCTGGAAGTGCTTCTCCAGTTTTGCCTTGAGCATTAGTCACACATGCAATTCATCCTAGGTCACACAGCTAGAAAGCTGCTTCCTTTGAAAGAGAATGCATCCAAGGCAGGTAGGAGAGCTCTGAGCTTCAATCAGGGAAGAGAGAATGAAAACCACCATATCCCCTCTCAGTGCGCACCCTGGACTCAGTAGGCCCCACCACACCAGCCAGCAGCTGCCATGCGGACAGACCCAACTTAGAGTGACAGCTTCAGGGGCTGTCAGGCAGGAGCTGCTTTGGAGGAATGTGACATTTCTTTTAACCTTTCTCTACTGGGCAGCAAAGCAGCCAGCCACCAACTTAGGAACAGGCTATATCCAGAGGATGTTTTTAAAAAATCAGTAAATGTATAAATATATACTAAATACATAAATATAAAAGACATCTTGTGCTCTGCAACTCGTCAATTAGTTAAAACTCCAAACATGAATCCCCAAGCTGGTGTTTAAGGTGCAGGAAATACTGAGGACTCCCTGGGGAGCCTGGCCGACTCCCTTTGAATGCTGGCTCTACCTCTAATTACCCAGGTGGCCTCTCTGCGCTTAATTTCCTGACTGGCAACTAGAGATACAAATAATACCTGTTGCATGGAGTTGTTATGAGAAGTAAGCCAACACATGCAAAACACTCAGACTAGGGTCCACCACACTGTAAGAACCCAGGCCAATGAGCTAGTGGCGGTGGCAGTAGAATCTAGTGACATGGTCAGCTAAGCTCCCCTCTGCTGGCCTAGGCTAGTACTACTTCCTACCAGGGATCCTCTCAGCCATCCCCAGAAGGTCCCATGGAGCTCCCTAGGGTGCCTGCACAACTATGGACAAGGTCCAACCAGAAACCATAGCGTTTCCAGCTAGAGATCTCTGCAAAAACAAGTTCCAAAACAGACTATTTCCCACCACCTGACAAACTACACTAAAGGAGGGCTTGCCGTAATGGATAGCACACCTGCACAGCCATGCCCTAAGCCATGATCAGGAAAGGAAATTGATGCCTCACTCAATCTACCTCTCTCTACCTCTAAGTACCACATTTAGGAGTCTCTTCCCCAAGAGCCTAGCTGTCTAGCTTGGGTCCTAGGTGGGAATGACCAAATCACCTAGAGGTGTGCCCGTAACAAGCCTGTAGCTCCCATGCCCTTCCAAGGCAAAGCTGGGCCCTCAGCAGCAGCCAAACCCAAACCCCAAACGTCTTTGACCACACTGGGAAGAGCAGGGGTCAGGGGTCAGATATCTGCATGTAGCCAAGCAGAGCTCTCTCTAGACCTCCACACCCATCTTTACCCCACCCCAAATTCAGCCAAAGGTGCTCTGCTTTTGCATATCTATTGGTGATCCATGTATAATTTTACTTAGAAAACCCATTTTGCTCCTAAAAGCACAAAGATTTAAAACCACTGCTTTAGAAGAGGGTAGCTCTGTGACAGACCCATCATTACCCAGGCCTTGTGACAAATATTTATTGTCTTCAGAGTCATTCTCTCTTTCTCTCTTCTTTATATCTATCTACCCTTCCATATTTCCACAGTTCTTTGTCTGCAATTCATCCTAGGTCATTATTTATTATGTACTGTTTACATGTTGTTTATGTCTGTCTTCCTAGCTAGACTTTAGCTCTCTGAAGGAAGTGACTGTGTCTCATTCATTACTGCATTCCCAGTGCCTCACACATAGCAAGTGTTCAAAAATGCTGGATGGGCGGGTGGCTGGGTGGGTGGGTGGGTGGACAGA